AGGGGCTTAGATGGCAAGGAGGGAGTATTAAGGGAGGATGTCTCGCCCGAAGAGAGATAGCTAGCCAGCGTCTCTTCTACAGGGGGCATCCTCTCATAGCCGTTTTCCCGCATCGCCTCGATGCTGGCATAACTCGTATGCTGGAATCGATCGATGTGAGAAGAAAACGGCCTCTTCCATTCCTTCTCGATTTCAGTATGCAAATCAGGAAGGAATGGAAGGCTCACCTGAGCTGGATGGTTATGGTCAGAAAGATAACGCTCATCGAAACGACCTCGTGGCGCCACTCTCTTGGCCCGCTTCCACGGCAAGTCTAGTCTCGCCGTGGCGCGATCCATAACTTCCAACAGCTCATCATACGCAGGGCAGGAGGATTGGGAAGGCTCAGCCTCAGCCTCTTCGCCGTCCTCAGTCATCTCCTGCTCTTCCTGGGCTAAACCCAGCAGAGCACTGGCCCCCGGATCAGATGATGTCAAAGAGATAACATCATCCTCCAGCGGCTCTCTCTCGTCCGCAGCCAACGAGCGCGAGAAGGAAAGCCCCTCCCTAAACTCATCAGCCAGGTCCACCTGCGAACCCCATGAGCTCATTCTCCTCCGTGCCTCAGCAGCGGCGGGTCCTGAACCGTGGGGAGCAGATGGCTGCCCCTCTTTCCTCGAAAAAAGAGACAAATGAGAGCGGAGTTTTTTCATCAAAAAACGCTCACAATGCACGCAAATCATCCCCTCAAGGACGTCGCGTGCGTGCTCCTCGCCCAAACACAAAACACAGAGATCGTGTGTGTCATCAGGTGTCAAATAGCCACGACCCGGATGCACACACCCTCTAAACGCTCTGCTAGCGCTCGCCATAATAATAGATAGTAGATCGCTCTTACCACGTTCAAATGCACGCTTCAAACAAAACAGTCAATGAAGACGAAGAAGTGAATGACATGTTCTCCCGGCGCCTATTTATACTATAGTCGCACCGGTAGTGACATCATGGGCTGTCGCCGGCTAACGTGTTGTTGGTGTTTTTTCAATGTATGCTTCAGACACGGGTCACGACGAGGCGTTCCCCATAGCGACCCCTAGAGGACACAGTTCGAAGTTCCCTTGAAAAGGAACAGTATTTTAGGCCTAAATTTAAAAATCCAAATTACACATCATAATCAGAATTATTTGTACACATTACTACAAATTAAAAAGAGTTTTATGTATGTCTAAAACTGCTTTAAAAACAATATCCTAGAATTAAACAATAATTCTATTGGCTGTACATAAAAAACACTACATGCTAACAACACATACACTGAGATGAAAATTCATTTGTGGGGAAATGTGGGGAACTCTGAGATCTTTGTGCCCCTTTACACAACAGACCTCAATCAGGGGTACAGAAAAAATGAACAAAAAAAAGCCTCTCTTTGTCATGATTTTGTACTATGAGCATTAGCTGTCAATCATACCTTTGCATGTGTTATTGCTGTTTATAGGGAGGTTTGGGTCTGTTAAATTATATCCACTCATGCACAAGCAATTGTGACTCCCAACAGTGTTGTTGCAGATTGAGTTTGGGCCACAAATGTCTGATATCTCAACACATTCATCCACATCTATATTAAAAGAAAGTTACAGGAAAAAGAAAGTTTGGATCATATGTAAAGGTAAAAAAAAAACTGAAACTATGATGTAGTGTAACATTACAAAGGCAATGACTAACTTCCTGCATGGTGTCTTCACAAACAAATTTCATAGTTTTTCTAGAGAATAAGTGACTTGATAATGTTTCTTTGAAGATGATACCAGCCAGTTTTGGTAAAGAGCATAGGTAAAGCATTGAAAAAAACTTTACAAGAAACCATTCGAAATGGCAGAAATGTCAAGTAAGGTAAATCAATCAAAGAAAATTAATGATTGTAGTATTTTACAAGTCTGAGTTTAATTACATTAGAACTGAACAAATACAAAATGTGAAGAGTTTGTCAACTAATTTATCCTTTAAAATGTATGGCAGTGTAGCAAAATTAGAGGTTAGAAAAAGGTTAGGGAACATAAAGATCTGACTTAAGAACGTACCTCTACATGTGTTATTGATGCCGATAGTAAGACTTGAAACTGTTTCAGTGAATCCATCCAGACATGAGCAATTGTAACTTCCCATTCCATTTGTGCAGTTAGAATCTGGACCACATAAAGATGGACTGAACAAACATTCATTTATATCTATGGAAGGAACAAGTGAAAAAAATTAGAAGTATATTTAATTTTTACAGTTTATAAATTAGGCAAAGATCTGACAAGAAAAACATCTGGTATCTAAAGACATTTATTCACATTATAGAATACACAAGAAGATAGAAAAGCGAAAAATTTATAATTTGCTGGGTGATGTTACACCTCAAGCAGGAACAACTAAAACTCACAGAAGTATTCAAACAAACAAACAAAGACAAAGCAGCTCTGTACACTCAATTTAATGAGATAAAAACAGAACACAAAATGAGATAATTATATTTACCGTGACATGAGTTGTTGCGGCTCACAGGACTGTCTTTATTGGAGGTATTAAATCCACTCCAGCATGAACACATGTGACTCCCAATGATGTTAATACAATCTGAGTATTGACCACACACTGACACTGCATCTTCACATTCATTGATGTCTGGAAAAAAAAATTTTCAGATTTCCAAACAACCAAACATGTCAAGTGTCGCTGACTAAACTCACGCTGGTCATGTTACTACAATTACTATCAGTACATTTGTGATCTAATGTGATTTCTTACCTCTCTGGCAAAGCGGACCCTCTGAAGGGAGAGCTTGAATACATCCACAAGTGCCTCCCACAATGCCATCACACACCTGATAGGCCCTGCAGGTGTCATTGGGCCAAACATGATTCTCCTCACACTTGCACTCATATTCTGTTCCATTTAACCCACACACTGTAATAGAATGGGATTCATTTATCAGTGTTCAAACTGTCAGTTTCTCCTAATACTGAACTCATCTTAGCATGTGACATGATAAAACATTCTGATCTCACCAGTATTCATGTCAATATCTGTGATATTAATGCTGTTTCTCAGAGTCAAAGGCAGGCTGATATTTCTGATGAGATTCCGTAAGTAGTCCACCAAGAACAAGTCAAATAATCTCACATCAATGTCAATCACGTACTTAGACGGTAGAACTGCAAGAACAAAAAGAAGCAGCTTGAGCAGAACAATCAGCATGATTACATTCTTATAATGACAAAAAAGTACTATTTCCATTCATTTCAAATATGACATTATTTCTTTCTCAGATATAATATACCACAAAATTGATGTTGTCATAGAATAATGTCAGTGTCTCACTTTGGCAGAACTGTCCATCGACTGGAAGAGCATTGATACATGTACATGAACCATCAGTGATGTCATCACAGGCCTCGTATGAGTGACACGTGTCATTCGGCCAAACAAACAGACCCTCACATTTACACTGATACTGTGTTTCATTCAAAGAACACACTGAAAAACAGAGGAAGAGTCAAAAAATCCAATATTCATCATGTATGGCAGCATTCATGATGTATAAAGTTTAATCTTAGTTATACAATATTACAGAAGCAGAGCCAGAGATCATACCAGTAGTTATGTTGATTTCTGTAATGTTAGTGCTGTCACTGATTGTGTAGGGCAAACTAAAAGACATCAGAAGGTTCCTCAGCTGATCAGTGATGCTACTGTCCATGCTATTGATCTGAATTTCAATCAGATATTCAGTCAAAGGTAGAGTCACTGTAGAAATAAAGTGGGGAAAAACATCCAGAAATGAGGACTATGCATTTTACCTACAAATACGATAAACAAAGTTTGTAATAGATAATTATTTTTTTTGCCCAACAGAATTTAATGCAACTGTATTTTGTTTTGTTTTAAACTCCAGCATGTATTTAAACAGCTTTAATCATCGCTGAAAACAGAAGTAAAGGAAACATGCACCAAGCCATAAAAGAGATTGAATTCATATTTTTGTGAAATTTACACACAATATAAATTAAATATATCATGATGAAATATATTTTCTACATGCTCACCATTGCATGGGTTACTGGCGCTGACTGGTTCACGGATATTTGTTACAGTAAATCCACTCAAGCAGGAACAGTTGTAACTCCCATTTGAGTTTTTGCAACAAGAGTTTGGACCACAGACCTCTGGTGTCTCAAGACATTCATTCACATCTTTATTACAGGAAGATATGAAAAAAAAACATACTTAGTGTTCCTAGTAGGAACACTCAAACATGAAAGTCATTGTATTTTGAATCTCATTTTTTTATGTTTTTGTTACCAAACGGTAAAAATAGAGGATGAAGAATATTCTTTTTGCAGGAGATGAAAACACTAATTGCTGTTTAATTGTTAATTAAATAATACAATGTGTTAAAATTATTTGATAGCAAAAAGAAAAAAAATTGAAATGCCTAAAAACAATATCTTTGGTTATTTTCCAAAATTAGGCAATACTGTAAAGACAAAGCAGCTCTGTACACTCAATTTAATGAGATAAAAACAGAACACAAAATGAGATAATTATATTTACCGTGACATGAGTTGTTGCGGTTCACAGGACTGTCTTTATTGGAGGTATTAAATCCACTCCAGCATGAACACATGTGACTCCCAATGATGTTAATACAATCTGAGTATTGGCCACACACTGACACTGCATCTTCACATTCATTGATGTCTGAAAAAAGAGTGAGAAGGTTTTGCATAAATGTTACCCTTAAAGGTTTCCAAACAACATGTCAAGTGTCACCAAATAAATTCATATTGGTCATGTTACTACAATTATTATCAGTACATTTGTGATCTAATGTGATTTCTTACCTCTCTGGCAAAGCGGACCATCTGAAGGGAGAGCTTGAATACATCCACAAGTGCCTCCCACAATGCCATCACACACCTGATAGGCCCTGCAGGTGTCATTGGGCCAAACATGATTCTCCTCACACTTGCACTCATATTCTGTTCCATTTAACCCACACACTGTAATAGAATGGGATTCATTTATCAGTGTTCAAACTGTCAGTTTCTCCTAATACTGAACTCATCTTAGCATGTGACATGATAAAACATTCTGATCTCACCAGTATTCATGTCAATATCTGTGATATTTATGCTGTTGCTCAGAGTGAGAGGAAGGCTGATATTTCTGATTAGATTCCGTAAGTAGTCCACCAGGAACAAGTCAAAGAATCTCACATCAATGTCAATCACGTACTTAGAAGGTAGAACTGCAAGAACAAACAGAAGCAGGTTGAGCAGATCAGTATGATTACATTCTTATGATGAAAAAAAAGTAATCTTTCCAGTAATTTCAAATAAGAAATAAATTCTTTCTCAGATATAATATACCACAAAGCCTGAGGTTAATGTTGAAAGTATCTTACTGTTAACATTTCAACAAAACTTCATATAATAGACCATGTATTTTATAGTTATTTAAAGCCAAAAAAACTAGCAAATAATCAGTCAGTCAAACCTAGCAGTAGAATGCAGTAAAATCAAAGCAGGAAAACAGAACAAACTAATTAAGAAAATTTGAGAAAATTAATGTTGTCATAGAATAATGTCAGTGTCTCACTTTGGCAGAACTGTCCATCGACTGGAAGAGCATTGATTTTTAAAAATCATATTTACATTGCTGGTAGGTTATCATTGCACAAATTAACACACTCTCTACGTTTAAAAAATAAAAATAAAAATTAGAAGAGTTCTAAACTAATGCGCTGTCTTCTGTATCTAATGCACACACACGCTCAGTCACTCACACAGATCACGTTGTGGCCGCACTCAGTCATTCAGGAACAAACTTTTTAGTGCTGCCCCGCAGTTTTATCAACTAAATAGCTTAATCGCTCAAGAGCTACATTATCTTTCTCAACAAGGAGCTGGTAGCATCGTTACTAAAGGAATTAAAGCCACAGCTTTACTGTTAATAGAGGAACGCGGCAAAACGGTGGTAATTCATACATACACAGCCCCCCTCTCTCTCTCTCTTTCTCATAAATGAACACTTGATGAATTACACATTTACGAGAATAGAATATTGAAGTGGAGATCGCTAAACTGCAAGCTAAAACTAAAACCAGTGTTACGTGCCACAATATCGATACAGGGCCAGCTGTATCGATACTCGTATCGTCAAATCTCTGTGACAATACATCATCGTATCGATGTATCGAACACAGCACTACTGATCACAGCATGAGCATAAAAAGGCAGCAGGTTCAACGCATACCAACTTTTCGCTTCGGAGCTAAGCGATCACATCGTTTTGCTCCTGACTACTCTACTGAGAGAAGAAGACTGAATGAGTTCAACGCGCTCTTTGAAGCTCTTGGTGTTGGCGGTATGGCGCTTCAGCGGTGGTGGTTTCCCGTGTCGAGTGTGTTGCACACAGCAGGCTGCACTACCCTCTGTTTGTGTTGCAGGCGGCCATCTCCCCTGTGCACTTCATCACGCTGAAAGAGCTTTTTCCCTAAAAATGCACGGGTGCGTCTTTTTAAAGACAACGTTGCGTCTGGCAAACTCGACGTTGCGTCTTGCTACAGACAACGTATCATCCGTGCGGAGAAGAAGACTGAACGAGTTCAGCGCGCTCTTGGAGAGCTCTTCGTGTTGGCGGTATGGCGCTTCAGCGGTGGTGGTTTCCCGTGTCGAGTGTGTTGCACACAGCAGGCTGCACTACCCTCTGTTTGTGTTGCAGGCGGCCATCTCCCCTGTGCACTTCATCACGCTGAAAGAGCTTTTTCCCTAAAAATGCACGGGTGCGTCTTTTTAAAGACAACGTTGCGTCTGGCAAACTCGACGTTGCGTCTTGCTACAGACAACGTATCATCCGTGCGTTTCTGGATGCGGTCGTTACCTGGTGTCGGGTGATGGTCACGATCACTGCCTCACGTGTCTGGGCATTAAGCACGCTGAGGTGGCGTTTGTGGATGAGTCATAATCTCATTGCGGGAAGATGATCATCTCGGAGTCGCGGGCCAAGCTCCGTTTCCTCAAGGGGCGGAGTTCCGTTGCCTCTGCCTTGATCTAGTT